AGACAGTTCTAGAGGTCTTACCTGAAGTATGATGATGACGCTGCAAAGTGTGAACCTAATAGTGCCCATTTGTGGAAAACAAACTCAGAAAAGGAGTCACTGTTCTTCCCTGAGCTCAAACCTCTGAGCCTTCCTCCCTGATGTCTCCTAGATAAATTTCAGTGCCGTTGTGAGTAGAGCAGAGCGGCTTCCCGTGGGTAGTGTCAGTGTATATCAGATTACTGTAGAACTTGTTCTGGGTTCCTTGTAAGATCATAAAAACAGAGCCAACTTGAAAAGGCAGATACCAGTGTCTTGTTTCGGTTTTGTTCTTTAAAAGGTTGAAGTAATAATTCATTCTTAATAAAAGAACTATGATACCCCCCCCACGCAAACACACCTTACAAACTTATAGAAAAAGGCTTTCTGTAAAGCTTTTTTTTCTTACTTCAAAACATCCATGGTTCTGTATTTAATCTAAAATATGGTCATAATGATGAGACATATAGCAGCTCGTGGAATGACTCAAATTCTCTCTAACACACACATCTAAGTACCTGGTCAAACAGGAAGAGCAGCATTACAGAGTCATCAAACAGATGTTTTTGCACAGGTGAACCAAACCAAATAGAGGATTAAACATTTGCATTCATACCACGAAAGCCTCCTAAAATTTAAATATATAAATTAAGACATTCTGAAAATAAGTTTTTGCATGAAGCAGTCTACATTTTTTTTGTCGAGTTGCACATGTATCATCTTCTGAAGTAGCAATAGCCAGTTTTTTAGGGGAGTAAATGCTGCTTTTTCAAAGTATCATTACAACATCTGCTGCCTGACCAAAGCACAGTAAAAAACAGAGGGATTAATTCCTAAAAACATTAGAGGGAAGACAACAAAGACTAGTTCCAAAGCTAACGTTGTGGACATGTACTCAACCACTCGGATGGCACAAAGACCCAGTCCCTGGTATACTTCAGATGGGTCAGAGAGCACTTTCTGGCCGAGGCAGCAAAAGAAGGCATAGTTTCTATAATTTCCCTTCTATGGAGCTCTAATCACCTGGAGGGGAGGCAAGAATCCTACAAAATCCCAGCAAAAAGGAAAGAGCTTCACTCAGGATCAGGATTAACCAAAAACACCTCACGGCAGAAATATGACCATGTCAGGAGGCATGGAGCATGGGCGGATTCAGGAAAGTTGGGGCCCTAACCAAAGACTGGAAGGGGGCCCTCTGAATTGAGAAGACAACACATAAACAGACCCATTCTACAGATACAGAAATGTTAATAGAATAGACATCCATTATCTGTTCTAGGTTGTGTCCCTCTCTTCTTGTCCCTTTTCTTGTTGTTTTCCTCTCTATGTTTTGTACTCAACTGACTTTTCATGCTGTCTCTAAAGGAATGAAAGATTTTTTCCAAGCACTAAGCTCACTTAGCTGATTGCTCCTTCCTGTGTTTCCAAAAAGGCCAAAGTAAATAACCCAGTCCTTCTTTTCACTGTAGACAAGCCATGATCTGCTTCTCTGTTCTCCATTTTTCATTTGGATGAAATAATAGCTGCATGAATCATGACAGCAGACAAGATAGAGGAGAGCAGGAGGCGGGGTTACCAATCTACTGGCTCTGGAGAGCAGAGTTCGCTGCTTTTAGATGTTGTCTCCAAAGTCTCCAGTAGCAGAAAAAAAGTCTCTAGTTGTGGCACTAGGCGCTTTTTTGTAATCAAAGTGCTAGAGGGGTCTGAAAAGTCACTAAATATAGTGACAAAAGCGCTAAGTTGGCAACATGCTGTCTGTTTGGATCACTACTCGGTTTTTTTAGACAGTAGGCTGACAGGAAAGGGGGTAGAGACATGCAGGGAGGACCACAGGCCAGTTTTGAACCAGGGTTGGCTGTGTGGAGGACTAAGGTCTCTGTTCATTGGTCATGTGCGCTAACCACTGCGCCACCAAAGCACAACCTGTTTGGACCTATATTATAAGCATGCTGATGGCATTTTAGCGAAAGGATTTGTATCAAAAACCTAATTACTGTACACAAATAATGAAAAGTTGAGTTTTTTTTATTTATTATTAACAATACATGTAAACAGAACTTGGAGTGAGTAGGCCCCTACTTAAAACCTTCTATGACTGTAGTGGCATCAGCCCTCCTCTACACTGTTGTCTACTAGGCCCCTGGCAGTGCAGAGCGGGACAGAAAGAGACTGAGCAAACTGGTGAGAAAGGTTGTTTCTGTCCTTGGCTGCACTCTGGACTCAGTGAAAGAAGTGGCTGAGAGGAGGATGCTGTCCAAGTTTCCATTCATCATGGACAACACCCTCCACCCTCTGCACCAGACTGGAGAGGAGCTGCTCAGCTACAGTACAACGGCACTAACTTGTGCAATGTATGACAAGCCTTAAGGATGCACAGTGGGAACATTTTCACAATAGCAACTGGCCAATTGGAAGACCCACTGCAGCGCTCTGGAAAAAGGACCGCTTCCTGAAGGTTTTGCCTTTTCTCATGCTCCACACATGCAACTTCCTTCTAGTGATCTGCCCAAGAGAGGGTTTGACATCTGTAGACCGGCAGGATGCATACTTTCATGTTCTGATCCATCCAGAGCACACAAAGTATTTGAGATTTGCTTTCCATGGTTGGGTGTATGAGTTCTTGGTCCTGTTGTTTGGACTTTCTTTGGCCCCTCAGATTTTCACAAGGTGCATGAAAGTGGCCTTGAGCCCTCTGTACTTGTCAAGGGAAAAGATTTGGCCCTATCTAGACAACTGGCTTATCTCTACCCTCACCACCTTGGCAAAAGATTGGGTGGTGTCAAGATTCCTGATCCACATTACTGTAAAGCTCTGGAGCTAGCAATAAACAGACAGAAGAGCTCCCTGATCCCAGCCCAGCGGGCGATTTTTATTGGCATGGACCTGGATTTGATATCCACATTGGCCCAACTCACCAAGGAGAGGATGGAGAGGATCTCTCCTTACTCCTGTCCTTTCAGGTGGGAGCAGCACTCCAAGTCAAACAATGGTGGAGACTGCTGGGGATGCTGTTGGCAGCCTCTGCTCTGACTCCACTGAGGCTTCATCTACACCCCTTACAGAGATGGTTCAACAGCCTCCAGGAGGATGGCCTGGAGGATGTGGACCTGGCCATACCCTCCTTTTTCATTAATCAGGTCTATGCACCTGCTGGAGACGAGAGAATCTGTGGCAGAGTTCCTGAAGTCAAAAATGATCTCTTTTGTTTTCTCCACATTCTCACTGGCAATCAGAAAGGAAAGAAACGGAATGTAAGTTACATTGTAACTATGGTTCTGCGAATTCCTGAATGACTGCCAGCACTGGTCACATGGAACTTCACCCACAGTGAGACAGTCTTAGGCAACAGATTCAACATTTATAGACACACGCCAAGGTGAGCTACGTGTCATGTGCATGACTTTGTTTACATTTTATCTCGACCTGCACGGAGGGCGAGGAGACATATCCACTTTGTTTACTGCCACTGACGGTCATACAGGAATTCACAGAACCATAGTTACAATTTAATTAACGGTTTATTAGTGGGTCCTAGAATTTCTAAAAGTAGAATGGGAGGCAGATCTTTTAGTTATCAGGCTCCTCTCCTGTGGAACCAACTACCAGTTTTAGTCCGTGAGGCAGACACCCTGTCTACTTTTAAGGCTAGGCTTAAAATGTTCCTTTTTGATAAAGCTTATAGTTAGAGTGGGCGGCTTTTCTGCTCTTGGGCTGATTCTGTGCGCGGTGTGTTTCGTTGCGCGCTGTTGGCATCGGTCTTGGTGGGCTGTCTCTCCTCCTACCTTGGTGGGGGTCTGATTTCCGGGGCTGGCCCCGCCTTGGTGCCTTCCCTTCTGGGGTCCCTTTGGGCGCCTGGGGCTTTGGGTCTCCCGGCGCTGGACTCAGTGCTCTGGGGGGTGTGCCTCTCCGGCTCTCCACAACCACTATTGAGCATTTTTTCTATGGTTAAAACTTTACATGCACAAGTTCACCCT